CGGCTTTTTTCTTTTTGCTTATGTGGTGCTGAGGAATCAAACCCAGGGCCTCATGCATGCAAGGCAAGTGCTCTACCACTGAGCCACCTTCCCAGTCCCGTGATGTGGGCTTTTTAGATATGGAGTGTTGGCTATTATTTTTCTACTTCTCTTTTCTCTAACTTACACTGGAGATCTGTTTGTCAACTGGATTACAGTTGGCCCCTTCCTCTACTGATGTACATTGTGGTTTTAATTTGCATTTCCTCATTGCTAATGATGCTGAGCTCATTTGTATGCACCTGTTGGCTATTTATATATCTTCTTTTGTGAATGTTCAGTTTTTCTGAGGATGAGTATTTTTAATGCTTTTACTACTTAATACTTTCATAAAATCACACTAGTTATCCTGGCAGTTGTATATAAAAATGTCTCTTTTTTTTTTTTTAATGCCAGTACTGAGGCTTGAATTTAGGACCTGGTTGCTGTCCCTGGGCTTTTTTGCTCAAGGCTAGCACTCTACCATTTGAACCATAGCTCCACTTTAACTTTTTGGTGATTAATTAGAGGTAAGAGTCTCATGGACTTTTTTCCCAGAGTTGGGTTTGAACCATGGTCCTCAGATCTCAGCCTCTTGAGTAGCTAGGATTACAGGCATGAGCCACCATCTCACAGTGATTAGGTGTATTTCTAATTGTCTGTAAAAACATTGTCTTCCAGAAAAAAATGGCTACTGGACAGGATCGAGTGGTTGCTCTGGTGGACATGGACTGTTTTTTTGTTCAAGTAGAGCAACGGCAAAATCCTCATTTGAGGAACAAACCTTGTGCAGTGGTACAGTACAAAACATGGAAAGGTGGTGGGTATGTATCATTGTTGTTGTTACAACTACCAAGGTTTAATCTATGGAAATACAATCCTGTGCTAGGCATCTTTTATATGTTTATAGCTTGCTCATGTTAAATTTTGGTTGTTTTTGCTTGTGATCATGTAATACTTCTCCCTCTTTATTTTTCTAACCTTAGAATTATTGCAGTGAGTTATGAAGCTCGTGCATTTGGGGTCACTAGAAACATGTGGGCAGATGATGCTAAGAAATTATGTCCAGATCTTCTACTGGCACAAGTTCGTGAGTGCCGTGGAAAAGCTAATCTCACCAAGTAAGAAAACCAATTGTTTAAAGGGACATGGAGGTGTTGGAAATAATAGTCATGAGGGGTGGAACTAGTCTTGCAGATTTTGTTTTGTGGGCTTGGGTATGGCCCAGAGGTAAAGTGTTTGCCTTCATGAGACCCTGGGTTCAATCCCCAGCACCAAAGAAGGAAAAAGAAAGGCAAATTAACATGTAAAGAGGTTCCCTTTGGTCAGTATGTTGTCTCTGAAATGAAAACAGATGTTAACATCTAGTTTAGTAATAGTTTGGAACCACTATTATAATGGCTGCTATCTTTGACACACATTCATTTCCTTAATTGTGTAAAAATAGGTTGTTATAATTGAAACAGTATCTATTGCAAAAAAGTACCTGTGACTCAAAGGCAGCTTAGGAGGGAGGGGATGGGAGGGAAAGAGGAAATAGCTTACACTAAGCAAAAGCAATGTAAATATCACCTGATATGGAAGAAATAGTTGTTTTGTCAAAGCTCATAGAATTCACAAACTTTATAGACCATGATAATGACAGTTTGCCTTGTGAAGGTTAAAATGTGTTTGTGACTAAGTATCACTATATGTGAAATTTATATAACTACCTAATCTCAATAAAAAAATATTTTTTTAAAAAAAGTACCTGTGAGACTCTTATCTCCAATTAACTACTCAAAAAGCGGAAGTGGAGCTGTGGCTTAAGGTGGTAGAGTGCTAGTCTTAAGCAAAAGAGCTCAGGGATAGCACCCAGGCCCTGGGTTCAAGCCTTACAACCACCACCAACAACAAAAGCTCAGGAAAATGCCCAAGCCCTGACTTCAAGCCCCAGGGCCCAAACAAAAAGAAAAAAAACATTAATAGTCTTCCAAGGAAGGCTGAGTCAGACTTTTAGTGAATATCTAGAATTTTTTGCTAGAGTTAAAAGAAAGAGTGGGGCAGGGGCTGGGAATGTGGCTTAGTGGTAGGGTGCTAGCATGCAGGAAGCCCTGGGGTCCATTCCTCAGACACAGAAAAAGCCAGAGGTGGCGCTGTGGCTCAAGTGGTAGAGTGCTAGCCTTAAGCTAGCTCAGGGACAGTGCCTAGGTCCTGAGTTCAAGCCCCAGGGCTGGCAAAAAATATAAAAATTTTAAAAATAAAAAAGAGAGAGACAAGGAGAAAGAGACAGAATTATTTGCCAAAGTTGAATAACCTTAAAGATTGCCTTGTGAATTTAACTGCCTCTTAGTTTTATTAGTTGAGCCTTAGAGGGCTTGAAAAGTGGCTCAGTGGTAGAGTGCTTGCCTCATATGCATGAGGGCCCTGGGTTCGATTCTTCTGCACCACATAAGCAGAAAAAGCTGGAAGAGGTGCTATGGCTCAAGTGGTAGAGCACTAGCCTAGAGCTGAAGAGCTGAAGGACAGTGCCCAGGCCCAGAGTTCAGGCCTCATGACCGACAAAAAAAAAAAAGTTGAGCCTTAGAATGAGAGACACATAGAGAGGTAGGCACAAGCCCCACCCAGTAGCTAATATACTTAGTACTGAGCATAAATTCTAGGTGCTGTGTTAAGCTCTTCATAAGCTTTCATACCTTTTAAATTATTTTAAGTGTTACTTCCCCCTTCATAGGGAGGTTAAGTAATATAAATTCACACAGCAGGCAGATGACTGAGGATTTATTTACATGTTTTTTTAGAGTCCAGTATCCACAGTCTCACAGAACATTATTTTGTGTGGTATGGCGTGGGGACCATCCTTTGGCTTGGGACCTGAGGGGTTTGTGTGTGTGCCCATACATCCGTGCCAGTGTGCCAGTGCCAGTACTGGAGCTTGAGCTCAGGGTCTTCCACTCTTGCTTGGATTTTTCAGTCAGTGCTTTTTTATTCCTACCAATTGAACCACATTTCCACTTCCAACATTTTGGTAGTAATTGGAGATGTCTCACAGATTTGTCTTCCTGAATTGGCTTCAAACTGTGATCCTCAGATCTCAACCTTATGAGTAGTTCAGATTATAGATGTGAGCTACCAGTGCCAGGCTATTTTCTTCCTTTTTAGAGAGATCTTTGCTATAGAGACACGTTAAAGATCTGGGTGGTTTCTGCCTTGGTAATGCTAGCATTTCACTAAAATTTTTGGCACTGCTTCTTCCCTGCTTTTTTTTGGGGGGGTTATATCAGTTATATAGGTATTGCCCTGTATCATTGGTCCTGACTATCTGCTTATTCAATTATGTAACTAGTCTTTGTTAAATTGCTTGTTTCTTGATTATGGAAGTTATTGCTCATTATAAGAGGGTGCTGACAACCTTAAGGTTACCTCTGTCGACTATATGTGTGATCCCTATCCTTAGGTACCGAGAAGCCAGTGTTGAAGTGATGCAGGTAATGTCTCATTTTGCTATCATTGAACGTGCCAGCATCGATGAGGCTTACATAGATCTGACGAGTGCTGTACAAGAGAGACTACAGAAGCTGCAGGGTCAGCCCATCTTGGCAGACTGGTTGCCAAGCACTTACATTGAAGGATTGCCTAAAGATCCAACAAGAGCAGAAGAGGCTGTTCAGAAAGGTATTTCCATACCATTGCTTCTGCTTCCTGCCTTTGGAACCTGCTTTGCTTGGTCAAGCTGATTCTTCATGGAATGGTTCAAAGGAATCTTAAATTACAACCTGAAAGAATTCCAAAGACTCATGTCAGAGGATATACAATCCATTATCATTCCAGGTATATGTATGTTGAGAAGCTATGAAAATTGTATAAAAGTAAATATCTCTTTAGATACAACTAGGTAGCCAGGTGTGGTGCCTCATGCCTATAATCTTAAGAGGCAGAGTTTGGGATGATTGCAATTTGAGGCCAGGAAAACAGGCAGGATGATCAATCATGTAACCACAGGTACACAGGTAATATAGGTATGGAGGATCATGCTCTAAGGCCAGCCTAAAAGCATAAGACCCTATTTGAAAAATAATGAAAGGAAAAAAGAACTGAAGTTGGGAAAATAAATGTAGTTCCTTTGGTTGGTTGGGTTTTAAACTACACAGCTAGAACTAGCTTCCAAAAATATATAAATTTAAGTTTAGATTAAGTTGAGTTAATTATGAATATTTTCTTTTTCTTTTGCCCATTCTGGGACTAAACTCAGGCCTGGGCACCGTCCCTGAGCTTTTTAATTAAGGCTAGTACTCTACCACTTGAGCCACAGCACCACTTCCAGCTTTTTCTTTTCTTTTTTTTTTGGTCAGTCGTGGGGCTTGAACTCTGGGCCTGGGCTCTGTCCCTCAGCTTTTTAGCTCAAGGTGAGCGCTCTACCACTTGAGCCACAGTGCCACTTCTAGTTTTCTAGTGGTTTATTGGAGATAAGAGTCTCACGGACTTTCCTGCCTGGGCTGGCTTTGAACTGTGATCCTGAGATCTCAGCATCCTGAGTAGCTAGGATTACAGGCTTGAGCCACCAGCCCGGCACTTCCAGCTTTTTCTGAAGTTTATTGAGATAAGAGTCTTAGAGCTGAGCCCGGTGGCTCATGCCTGTAATCCTAGCTACTCAGGAGGCTGAGATCTCAGGATCATGGTTCAAAGACAGCCCAGACAGGAAAGTCCATGAAACTTTTTTCTGGGCCTGGGTGCTATCCCTCAGCTCTTCAGCTCAAGGCTAGCACTCTACCACTTGAGCCACAGCGCCACTTCCGGCTTTTTTTTTTCTGCTTATGTGGTGCAGAGGAATCGAACCCAGGGCCTCAAGCATGCAAGGCAAGCGCTCTACCACTGAGCCACCTTCCCAGCCCCCATGAAACATTTATCTCCAGTAAACCACCAGAAAACTGGAATTGGCACTGTGGTTCAAGTGGTAGAGTGCTTGCCTTGAGCTGAAGAGCTGAGGGACAGCGCCCAAGCCCAGAGTTCAAACCACAACTGACCAAAAAAAAAAAAAAATAGTCTCACAGATTTTTTTGCTTGGACTGGCTTTGAACTCCAATCCTCAGATCTCAGCCTCCTGAGTAGCTAGGATTACAGGTGTGAGCCACCAGCACCTGGCTTGAATATTTTCTAACTAGGGCAGATGTTCAAGAGGAAACTGAAGAAAATTTAAGGGAACAAGGGAAAAAATATGCTTTTTAAATCATTGCTCATAGATTGAGGATGAAGCTCAGTAGTAGAGCACTTGCCTAGCACCTGTAAGGCTCTTAAGTTTTTCTCCCTAGCACCACCATCAAAAAAAATCCTTGCTCACGAAAGATGTTACTAATATAAAATATATGTTGCGCATAAGCACTGCAATAATTTTGAAGAAGAAATCAATCTCTTTGTCAGTATTAAGGTTGAACTCAGAGACTGGTGCAGTTACTAGGCAGATACTCATCACTTGAGCCAACTCTGCCAACCTGAAATTAATCTCGTTTAGTTAATGAACTTAAACTGGCTGCATTTTGTTTTATGAAAACCTACATATCTGAAATAGTTGAAATGCAAGGATTTCTATACCTAGAAAATATAGCATGAAGACAAGTACATTCTGGAAAATGTGTCATGCATGATTTCATCATTGTGGGCACATACAGTCCAATCACACACATAGACTTCTAATAGTATACACTGTCATATCTGTAGTCTGTCACTAATCAAATGTCATTAGTTGGCACATGACTGGAAAAGCTAATTTTTAAAATAGCTCAATGTGACACAACTCTTTTTTTTCTTTCAGAGGAAGTGCGAAAACAAGGCTTACTTGAGTGGCTTGATTCTCTTCAGATGGATAACAGCAGCTCTCCAGACCTGCAGCTCACTGTGGGGGCAGTGATTGTGGAGGAAATGAGAGCAGCCATAGAGAGGCAGACCGGTTTCCAGTGTTCCGCTGGAATTTCGCACAACAAGGTGAAGGCTCATCATTGATATATTTAGTTAAATAAAGCAAGGATACATATGAATGAGGGATTCAAATGATTACTATGGACCTTGAAATGAGTTTTTATTAAGAATTCACATTGAGATCTAAATGAAAGTGTTATGTAAAGTTTTAACATGGGACTTGGCATTGCATATGTACCTTCCTCAGAGGCACGGTGAAAATTTACAGGAAATGTTCTTTGTATATGTTAAGATCAACACATAAATTCCTTGATGACTGATAAGAAAAATCATCTTGGAATTTTCATATATTACCCTGCTTTAAAATTCTTTGCAGTGTTAAGAATCAAACTCAGGTCCTTTCTCATGCTGGACAAGAACTCACCACTGAGCTACACCCCTAGCCCTTGGCTTTTTTGAGACAAGGTCTCACTATGTAAATCAGTCTGGCCTAAAATTCGTGTTCCTACTCCTTCCACCTCTGAGTGCTGCCATTACAGGTGTGTGTTACCATGCTTCCTTAACCTGTTTCTTTTATTTTTATTTATTTTTTATTTTTTTTGGGGGGGTCCGGTCATGGGGCCTGAACTCTGGGCCTGGGCGCTGTCTCTCAGCTCTTCAGCTCAAGGCTAGCACTCTACCACTTGAGCCACAGCGCCACTTCTGGCTTTTTTTTCCTGCTTATGTGGTGCTGAGGAATTGAACCCAGGACCTCATGCATGCAAGGCAAGCACTCTACCACTGAGCCACCTTCCCAGCCCCTCTTTTATTTTTCATTTGAATTATTTATATGTTTATTTTTTTGCCATATTGGAGTTTGAACATAGGGCCTTGCTCCTGCTAAGCAGGTGCTTTACCACTTGAACCACATACCCAGCCTGTAATCCTAGATACTCAGGAGGCTGAGATCTGATGATGGTGATTCAAAGCCAGCCTGGGAGAAAAGTCTGTGAGACCCTTATCTCCATTACACACTAGAAAACAGGAAGTGGTGCTGTGGCACCAGTGGTAGACCGCTCACCTTGAGCTGAAGGGCTGAGGGACAGCACCCAGGGTGAGTTCAGGCCCCACGACCACTACCACCAACAAAAATGCAGTAGTAAAATGTTACTAATTTGGACCACTTTCAGTTTAGGAGATACAAACACTCCTCTTTAACCCAGGAGCAGAATAACTAATAATCTGATTAATGGTGAATAAAGTAAAGTACAGTGAGTTTGGGGCCTTCATCATCTTCTAAGGGTAGGTAGAGAAAAGTTGCCAAACTGCCCAGGAAAATTTTTGTTTTCAGGGAGGAAGAAGAAACAATAGTCCCAATAAAATTTAAACCAGACTAATTAATACTGCCTAGTAGAAGTTTCTAGAACATCTCTAATGAATTCAGGAATGATTTTAATACTTTTTTTTTGTCGGTCGTGGGGCTTGAACTCTGGGCCTGGGCGCTGTCCCTCAGCTCTCCCACTTGAGCCACAGGGCCACTTACAGTTTTCTGGTTGTTTATTGGAGATAAGAGTTTCATGGACTTTCCTGCCTGGGGTGGCTTTGAACCATGATCCTCAGATCTCAGCCTCCTGAGTAGTTAGGAATACAGGTGTGAGCCACTGGCTTCTGGCTTTTTTTCCCCCCCAAGAGACTTATCTTCAGTTAACCAGCAAAAATTGGGATATGGAGGCATGGCTTAAATTGGAGAGCACCATTTGAGCAAAAAAAGGCATTGTGAGAGTTTGAGGCCCTGAGTTCAAGCCCCAGTACAAGCAAAAAAAAAGAAAAAGAAAAAAAATGTAACAGGGTAGTAAAACAAATTTGTTTCAGCATGTTCATATGGACACACTAAGAAATGCATTTTAAGTTGTTTTTTTTTTTTCAAAGTTCCACAGTGTTTTGAACCTATCAAAGTGGAAAGGCCTCAAGGAATAAATGGGAAAGGAAAAAACTGATTAGAGGAAATGAGAATGGAACTATAGGAGGAACAGTTAGGATCATCACAACCAGATCGTGTTTTCCATTGAAGATGTATGGAATATAAAGTCCAAGAGCTGGACTTATTTTCTGGATCTATTTTGTTTCTAAGTGGAAACCATTAGTTACAACCCTTAAGCTGAGTCGTGTGTGTGTGTGTGTGTGTGTGTGTCTCTGTGTGTGTGTGTGTGTGTGTGTAATATTTACCAACTCCATAGGAGGGTTAGTAGTACTGAGGTTTTTATACTTTCCATGTTTCTAGGTCCTAGCAAAGCTAGCCTGTGGTCTAAACAAGCCAAACCGCCAGACTCTAGTCTCACATGGGTCAGTGCCGAAGCTCTTCAGCCAAATGCCAATTCACAAAATGTAAGTATTCAGGAAGAGTTCCTTCGCAGTCATGCAAAGACGCTTTCTGCTTGTAGTGTCTTTTGTTCCTTAAAAAGGATTGGAGCAGGGAATATAGGAGAGAGGCAACACAGATAATTTTGAAAAGCACAAAACATTTTAATGAATTTTCAGTTTAGGATAGTACATTGAATATATTAATCCTGAATTTTAAAGAAATGAGCTACATGTTGGATATATGTTCCCTTTTTATTTGTCAGTCAATATAAGTCGTGGGACTTGAACTCTGGGCCTGGGTGCAGTCCCTGAGCTCTTCAGCTCAAGACAGGCACTCTACCACTTAAGCCACAGTACCACTTCTGGTTTTCTGGTGGTTCATTGGAGGTCAGAGTCTCATGGACTTTCCTTCCTGGGCTGGTTTTGAACCGTGATCCTCAGATCTCAGCCTCCTAAGATTTAGGATTACAAGCATGAGCCACCAGTACCTGGCCTTGAATTTTATATTTTTTTACTCTCAAATCAAGGTGTTCAGAACTGCTGACTTGCTCTCAAACTAGGTATAAAAGCAGCCAAATCGCCGGGCGCCAGTGGCTCACGCCTGTAATCCTAGCTACTCAGGAGGCTGAGATCTGAGGATCACGCTTCAAAGCCAGCCCGGGAAGGAAACTCCGTGAAACTCTTATCTCAAATAAACTGCCAGAAAACCAGAAGTGGCGCTGTGGCTCAAGTGGTAAAGCTCTAGTGCTAGCCTTGAGCTGAAGAGCTGAGGGACAGCACTCAAGCCCAGAGTTCAAGCCCTACAACCGACCCAAAAAAAAAAAAAGCAGCCAAATCAAATAAATACTAAATTATGCCCACAGATTGTTCCTGACTAGGATTAGTACTGTTAAAGAGACAAGATATGACAATTCAGAAAGTGATAAAGATGCTATGGCGTATCTGAGTAGGAGTATTTGCTAAATGAATTGTGTAGTTACCAAAATTTGCACACAAACCAGGTGCCAGTGGCACATACCTGTAATCCTACTCTGGAGGATTCAGGTTTGAAGAGTGTAAAGGCAGGAAAGTCTTATGACACATCTCCACTTAACTAGCAAAAAGCCAGACAGAAGTGGAGCTATGGCTCAAGTGGTAGAGCACTAGCCTTGAGTGAGAAAGCTAAGGGCCAGTGCCCAGGCCTTGAGTTCAAGCCCCAGTTACCAACACAGAAAAAGAAAGGGGAAAAAAGTTCCTCCACACAAAGATAGTAATCTGAGAAAGATTTGTGAAAGGGATGAGATTTTGTGGTGAGGTTTGGCATAATTTAGCGTCAGCCAAAAGCAGTAAGGCAGCACTGGGGAATTATTTTGCAAAAAGAAGGGAAAGTCTGCTGGGTGCTGGTGGCTCACGCCTATAATCCTAGCTACTCAGGAGGCTGAGATCTGAGGATCACAGTTCAAAGCCAGCCTGGACAGGAAAGTCCATGAGACTCCATCTCCAATAAACCACTTAGAAAACTGGAAGTGGGCCGGGTGCTGGTGGCTCATGCCTATAATCCTAGCTACTCAGGAGGCCGAGATCTGAGGATCACGGTTCAAAGCCAGCCCGGGCAGGAGAGACCGTGAGACTCCTATCTTCAATAAACCACCAGAAAACCGGAAGTGGCGCTGTAGCTTAAGTGGTAGAGCGCTCGCCTTGAGCTGAAGAGCTGAGGGACAGCGCCCAGGCCCAGAGTTCAAGCCCCACGGCCGACAAAAAAAAAAAAAAAGAAAACTGGAAGTGGCACATTGGCTCAAGTAGTATAGCACTAGCCTTGAGCTGAAGAGCTAAGGGACAGTGTTCAGGCCCAGAGTTCAAGCCCCATGACTGACAAAAAAAAAAAAAGGGAATGAGCTAGTTTACATTCATGAAGCAAGTAATGGAAGATGCTGAACATTAGTAAAGAACACATGATGGTGCCTCAAAAACCAGTTAAAAAAATATTTATTCTGTGCACCAGTGGCTCATGCCTGTAATCCTAGCTGCTCAGGAAGCTGAGATCTAAAGATTGGGGTTCAAAGCCAACTCAGGCAGAAAAGTCCATGTGAGACTCTTATCTCCAGAAACCACTCCAAAACCAGAAGTGGCACTGTGGCTCAAGTGGGAGAGCGCTAACATTAAGCATAAAGAGGCTCAGAGGTAGCACTAAGAGGCCCTGAGTTCAAGCCCCACAACCAACAATAAGAAAAAATAAAATTACACACATACACACACACACATATACACATATATACATATATATAAACCATATTAAGCATAAAAAGTGGTAGCCGAGGAAAAGATTTGTTTGGGATTTGGAATTTAAATCCTCAAATGGAATGAATAGGTATTACACAATTAGTATTTTATGACTTAATAGTAATGAATGACTAATATTTTCTTACGGTATTATTAATTTTTCCCAAGTCCTAAAATTCTGAAAGTATCTGAAGTTCTGTAATCACTTAGCCTTACACTGGAAAACTTCTGAATATTCAGGACTAAACATGCTCTTGTTCCCCTGGATCTTTTGGAGAGCAGCACAATGTCCTGTGTTTGCTATTAATTAGATACTTAGGTTGTGACCTGTAAATTCTTTGTGTCTGTTATCAGCCGTAGTCTTGGAGGAAAGCTTGGGGCCTCCGTCATTGAAATCCTAGGGGTAGAATACATGGGTGAACTAACCCAGTTCACGGAATCCCAGCTCCAGAATCATTTTGGAGAGAAGAATGGGTAAGTGATTCATATTCTCTTCCAATCATAACCTTTATGGATACTCTGAACTCAAATGTAGTTTACAAAAGCAGCAAATAAAATCTAACTTTAGATCCAGGTAATTTCACTAGTTGGTTCTTGCTTTAAAATATATTGTGTGTTCTATCAGTGTAGATTTTTCATATGCCTTGGTGGTTGACTGATAGGAATTTTTAGTTTGAAGCTTAAGTATATACTAGTTTATCATTTTTGTGATACAATATTATTAAGATATTATTATTACTAAGATTCTTACATTTCAGTCTTGGGGGATATGAGGCCAGGGTTGGTGATGCATACTTGTAATCCTAGCACTTGGGAGGTGGAGGCAAGAGGATAACAAGTTTGAGGCCAGCCTCAAATTTGAACTAAACCAAAAAATTGGGAATAGGAGGCTGGGAAGGTGGTTCAGTGGTAGAGTGCTTGCCTTGCATGCATGAGGCCCTGGATTCGATTCTTCAGCACCACATAAGCAGAAAAAGCCGGAAGTGGCGCTGTGGCTCACGTGGTAGAGGGCTAACCTTGAGCTGAAGAGCTGAGGGACAGTGCCCAGGCCCAGTGTTCAGGCCCACAACTAACACACACACAAAAAAAATTGAGAATAGGAATTTTGTGGCTTTGCTTACTGGCACTTTGCCAAAATGCAAATGATGACTTGGCCTCCCAAAACAGAGTAGATGTTCCCCTTGCTAATATTTTCATTGTGCTGGAATTGAGAAGGACAGGAGTTCTGTCAGAGGTCAAGTATACTTAATTTTGTCACATTGGTTTTATAAGATAAATGAGTAATATAGGTATTAGTTTTGTCTACATAATAGTATTTACTTTCGCCTTAAAGTTGTCTACTGGTTTTCTTAGGTCTTGGTTGTATGCCATGTGCCGAGGAATTGAACATGATCCAGTTAAACCCAGGCAGCTACCCAAAACCATTGGCTGTAGCAAGAATTTCCCAGGAAAAACAGCTCTAGCTACACGGGAACAGGTAAGCGGGCACTCTTGGCAGAACATTGTCTCTTTCACAGAAGGTGTTAGTGTGTACGTGTTGGTATCTGTGGAAGCTTCACTAGGTTAGATGGAACTCTATAATGTCAGAAGGGAAGTTTCTTTTTAGGTGTTGAAATTGACTAATTCGTTTTTCTTTTTCCTTTCTTCCACCTAAAATGTACTGAAACTCAAAATGGAGTTTCTTTTCAGTAGGTGGAAACTTAGAAAGCCTACTGAGTCGTGTCTCAGTTGTTGTCACCCTACTGGTCCTGGGGCTTGAACTCAGGGCCTGGGAGCTATCCCTGAGCCTCTTTGCGCTCAAAGCTAGCACTCTACCACTTGAGCCACAGCTCCACTTCCGCCTTTTTTCAGGCTGTCCCCACAGCTCTTTTTTTTTTTTTTTTTGAGTAATTTATTGAAGATCAGAGTGTCATGGGGACTTTTCTGCCTGGACTAGCTTCGAACTACAGTCCTCAGATCTCAACCTTCTAAGTAACTAGGATTACAGGCATGAGCCACCAGTGCCCGGCCACTTGTCTTTTTATACCAGAACTGGAACATACCTGAAATTTACCTGCTATGCCAACGGTAAAGAGAAATGAGAACAATTTTTTTTTTAAATTATGGTCAGGGTCTTGCTTTCCTAGCCCAATCTGGCCTCAAACTTGAGATCATTCTGCCTCAACGTTCCTGACACTGAAATTACGTGTGCATCCTGCCCAGGTGAAAATAAACATTTTGAACTAGAGCAAGACAGAATACTGAAATTTCTATGATCTAGTTACAGGAAGCCATTAGGCACACAAGTTTATGTGGGTTAGATTCGAACAAATCTACTGTCTAGTTCTGTGTCTCGAGTAGCTAAATGAAAAATTAAAAGTTTTGATACTTTTTTAGGTGCAGTGGTGGCTCCTACAATTAGCCCAAGAACTAGAGGAGAGATTGACCAAAGACCGAATTGATGTAAGATTTTCTTGATGCCTAGGGCGAGCTTTGGGATGTAAATACTAACTGCTCTTACTTTATTGAGGAGGAACAAAGATAGGAAAAAGAATTCTGGGTGCATCATCTACAAGTCTACTGAAATGATCAATACTATTGCTGGAGTAGGCCTTCATTGTTCCTTCAGTTGACAGTTGTTATGAGTATATTCAACTTTGTCCACTAGATGTCGCTCAGTTTTCATTTCATCACTGTAAAAGTCCCAGGGGCTTCTTGTCCTTGTATGTGGTACACAGAATGTAGATCCTTGACAATTCATCTGCTTTTAAGCTTCAAAGGACTTTGTGGCTGAAAGAATTCAAGACACAGGTGATCCTGTCACTTTGCTGTTTAGAAACTCCAGTAGCTTCCCTTCATACCTAAGTCATAGTAAGGATTTCTTTTAATTCTACAATTTTTTACCAGTCCTGGGACTTGAACTCAGGGCTTGCTTGGGCACTGTCCCTGAGCTTCTTTTGCTCAAGGCTAGCACTCTACCACTTGAGCCACAGCGTCACTTCTGGCTTTTTCTGTTTATATGGTACTGAGAAATCAAACCCAAGGCTTCATGCATGCTAGGCAAGCACTCTTAACAGTAAGACACATTCCCAGCCCTTAATTCTACAATGATTTAAGCACCTGCTTTTGATCTCTTCTCCCCCTTGATTACTATGTGTTCTCCGTTACCTTTTTTATTTTTTATGCCATTTCTGAGGCTCTACTTTACCTTTTTTTTGCCAGTCTTGGGGCTTGAACTAAGGGGCTAGGCACTGTCCCTGAGCCTCTTTGTGTTCAAAGGTAGTACAATACCACTTGAGGCACAGTGCCACTTTTGTGTTTTTCTGAGTAGTTTATTGGAGAGAAGTCTCTTACAGATTTTCCTGCCTGTTCTGGCTTCGAACCGTGATCCTCAGATCTCTACTTTCTGAGTAGTTACGATTACAAGGCAAGAGCCACTGGTGCCCTGTTTTTTGTTTTTGTTTTTTTTTTATTTTGTCAGTAATGGGGCTTGAGCTTGGGGCCTAGATGCTATCCCTAAGCTTTTTTACTCAAGGCTAGTGCTCTACCACTTGGAGCCACACAGCACCACTTCCAGTTTTCTGCTGGTTTACTGAAGAGAAGAGTCTTGTGGACTTTTCCTGCTCCAGCTGGCTTTGAACAATGATCCTCAGATCTCAGCCACCTCGGTAGTTAGGATTACAGACATAACCCACTGGTGCCTAGCTCACTTCCCACTCTTTTGGGGGAAGACAGTTAATTAGAGATAAGTCTCATGGGCTTTCAGCTGGTTGGCTTTGAACCATGATCCTCAGATCTTAGCCTCCTGAGTAGGTAGGATTTATAGGAATGAGCCACTGCAGCTATAACTTAGAGAGGGAAGCCTCCCTTTTATTTAACACACATAGTAGCTTTCACTTTGGCCTCTTTGGATTTGATCCTTTTTTTCTTCTTTTTGAAGGGAAGGTTGAAGCAGGGTCTCACTACATAGCCTAGACTGGTCTCAACTTATTGATTCTTCTATATGAACAACCTAAGTGCTGGTATTAACAGGCCTGAGCCACTGGATCCTTGCTAACTTGCTGTTCTCTTTGCTCACTGAAATTTGCTTGCTCACTTTATTCAGGTCCACTACCATTTCACCTTCTCATGAGGCCTTCCCAGTCGCCCTCTCACATCAGCCTCCATCAGACTCTGCAGATAATAAGAAGGCTAAAACTGTGGTCATTTCTAGTTTAAGCCTTCTCATTGATTATCTGCACAGACACAAATAGATACTCAATTATGTCTGTGGTTTTCATCAAATTCCTTCATAATTGATTTGTATTCTCATAAGATACAAATTTCTAAAATTTATTTTCTTCAAAAAATAATTTTAGCCAGGTGCCGGTGGCTCATGCCTATAATCCTAGCTACTCAGGAGGCTGAGATCTCAGGATCCCACTTCAAAGACAGCCTCAGCAGGAAAGTCTGTGAGACTCATCTCCAATTAACCATCAGAAAACCAGAAGTGGCACTATGGCTTAAGTGGTAGAGTGCTAGCCTTGAGCTAGAAACTCAGGGACAGCACCTAGGCCCAGAGTTCAAGCCCCACGACTGAACAAAAAATAATAATTTTGTTCTTAACTCATTTGCCTTTTGGGTATTCTTTTCACTAGAATCTTTGATTGAGGGATTTTCTTTTGCCTTCCTGTATTTCTGCTTCTTGACCTGTTAGTTGGTCAACACTAACAAAATTCTGGCCTGACTTCACTCAAGTGAGCCAGTGCCATCTTTCTCTCTAGCAGCTGTGACTCTACAATGTCTTCCATAAGGGACAGAAACTTCACTTTTTCAAGCATAAGAGCATAAAGGCAGAGAAAATTAAAACTTAATTGAAGACTACATGTATTTTTTTTTTTTTTTTTTGGTCAGTCATGGGGCCTGAACTCTGGGCTGTCCCTCAGCTCGTTAGCTCAAGGCTAGCACTCTACCACTAGAACAGCAGCACCACTTCCAACTTTTTCTGCTTATGTGGTGTTGAGGAATCAAACCCAGGGCCTCATGCATGCGAAGTGAGCACTCTACCATTGAGCCACCTTCCCAGCCCCTATTATCCAGTTTTGATATTACTTTTTTGAACTGTTTTCAGAAATTAGAATGTAGTACAATAGGTTTGGGTTAGAATCTTCTTGCCTGGACACCATGTAGTCTTTTTAGGAAGGTCTCATTTTCATGTATTTTGTCCCATTCCCATAGCTGTTCAGAATATCCTATTCTTCCATTCTATCACCCAAATTATGTCCTGTCCAATTGCTTTCCTATCCAGAAAAAAACACAAATTTTTATAGAATTGTGTAATATTTTTGTTCAGAAAGTAGGATTGTAACATATAGAATCTGCACTACTAGCATGTGAGCATGAAAACAGGAAACGTCTTTGTAACTATCACAGTGTCAAACCCAGTGTCTTGTGCATAATAATGTGTATTTGTAGTTTATACAAGTGGCACTGGAATAAACAGCCTGATTCTTGTCTTGCTGACTTGATATTCTTGGCTTTTTCACTGCTTCCAAACCATTCTATCCCTCTTTCTGTAGTTAGTATATAGAACCACAATGCTCCCAGTAGCGGTTTACAAGGCCTCCATCATTGTCCACCCACAGAATGACAGAGTGGCCACCCAGCTGTGTGTGAGCGTTCGAGTGCAAGGAGACAAGCGTCTCAGCAGCCTACGCCGTTGCTGTGCCCTGACCCACTACAACGCTCACAAGATGAGCCAGGATGCACTTGCTGTCCTCAGGAACTGTAATACTGCTGGAACCCATACTGAATGGTGAGGTTTCTTTCTAGTTCATCTTTTCAACCAAAATGTATCCCGTCTTCTCTAAAATGTGTAGGCTCTCTGTGACTGACTAACACTAACTACAGAGGGGATGGCCCTGCATTAAGGGAGAGAACACAAAGTCTAGGCAGTGCAGTTGCTGCTGCTCCACCTGTATTTGGTACAGTCTGATTCTCAGGGCTAGGTGTAAAGCAAGGTAAACCAATACTGTCCCTGCCTATATCAGCTACTCTTTTCAGGAAATGACTACTTGCACTTGGAGAGTACAACTCAAGTTTCAAGAATATTCCTGGAAACTTCTTTCTCACCTCTATGACTATTTTATCTTAAGAGCATTTTTCTTTTTTCTTTTTAGTCAGTTGTGAGGCTTGAACTCTGGGGCCTGGGCACTGTCCCTCAGCTCTTCAGCTTAAGGCTAGTGCTCTACTACTTAAGTCAAAGCACCACTTCTGGTTTTCTAGTGGTTTATTAGAGATAGGCATCTCACAGATGTTCCTGCCAGGGCTGTCTTTGAGCCATGATCCTCAGATCTCAGCCTCCTGAGTAGATAGGATTACAGAAGTGAGACACCAGTGCCCAGCTAAGAGCATTTTTCATACTTAGGAAAGTGATTTTTTTTTTCTCAGTGTGTGGTATTGAAGAGAGGACCCAGGGCCTCTTGCATGGCAGCAAAGTGCTTTACATGTGAGATCAGCCCCTCTAATGTGACCATTCACTGATAAGCCCTAACATTCTAACTCAGTTCTAAGCTTAGAGTAATAGTCATTAATAAATTTCACTTCTGTTGGTCATGAAATATAAAAACATATGACAGAACCTTTTTTCTTGGTTTTAAATCTCATGTTCATTTTCTGTCCAGATAGTGATTTTTTAGAAACAGAATCCTTTGTTTTTGCTTTAGTTACTTTTCAGATAGGGTCATGGATTTTAGCTCAGGGCTACCCTCAAATTGCTTTCCTTCTACCTACACCTCCCACATAGCTGGGATAACAGGTATGTGTTATCATGCCTAGCTTGTTGAGATATGAGGTTCTCATTGCCAAGATTAGCCTCAAACCACAATTCTCCCAAGTGGCTGGAGTTACTTTTACTTACTTAAAATTATGAGGGGCTGGAAAGGTGGCTCAGTGGTAGAGCGCTTGCCTTGCATGCATGAGGCCCTGGGTTCAATTCCTCAGTACCACATAATCAGAAAAGGCCAGAAGTGGTGCTGTGGCTCAAGTGTAGAGTGCTCCCCTTGAGTTGAAGAGCTGAGGGACAGTGCCCAGGCCCAGAGTTCAGGCCCCATGACCAAAGGGGAAAAAATTATAATTATGAAAGAAAAAGGTAAAAATGTTCAACTCATCTAAGTTATTGCTTATCTGTAATCCCAGCATTTAGGAGGCAGAAGCAGGAGAATCTCTAGTTGAATGCTAGTTCTTTACAACATCAAAACTATCTCAAAAAACAATACCAAAAATACAACATATGTTTTCACTATTAAACATTTTACAGGATCAAATGATAATTTTGGTGCTATGTTCACATGAAACCTTACTTGAAAACTTTGATGCTGATAAGCATTCGTATTCCTCCTAGTAACATGAAATTTATTGACAGGGAAACACCAAGATTATGATTTTTTTTAGTTTAATTGCCATCAGTTTATTATAAAAGGGAGATATGGAAATTATTTACATGAAGAAAGATCTCAGAACTTGCATGGACTGGGCAGCTTCACAGGATGCCATTTTAGTGATGTATTCACTCTACATACTTCCCAAGAATATCACCATCCCTATATAAGAAATAATCCTTGTCATCTAGAACTACTTTGGTGCCTCCATATTCTGGGAGAAGAACTTTATCACCCACATTCACACTAACTGGCTGAATCTCCACTCTTTTCTTTAGAGCCCGATCCCATGGCCACTACTGTGGCTTGCAGTACTTTTCCTTGAGACTTTTCTGGAAGCATAATTCCTCCTTTGGTTACAGTTTCAGCTGCACTCCTTTCGACCAACACTCGTTCAAACAGAGGAATGACCTTCCTAAATGCTTGTCCTGCCATGACTCTTCACGGTCGCCACTCGGACTCTTTTTTTTTTTAAACTGGTTGTGGACCTGAACTCTGGGTCTGGGCGCTGTGCCTCAGCTCTTCAGCCCAAGGCGAGCGCTCTATCGCTTGAGCCACAGCACCATTTCCAGCTTTTTCTGTTTATGTGGTGCTGAGGAATCGAACCCAGGGCCTCATGCATGCAAGGCAAGCACTCTACCACTGAGCCACCTTCCCAGCCCGAAGATTATGATTTATAAGATGGTCCCAAAGCAGGAAAGTTGATAGTGAGATGTTGTCCTCATAACTTTAAAACAGCACTTAATCTTTATCTCAACATAAAAGCTTTTATATTCTGAAATTCAATTCATAAGAAAATGTGAACCTAACAAGGAACTTTGTAGTAGGGATTGCTTGAGATTTTTCTGAGACGAGGATTGATAACCAGAAGGAATTGTAAAATTTCATTCTTCAGAAATTCCAGAGTAGGGGATGGTAAGGGGAAACAAAGGAGGAAGCACCAATGTTTGATAAGAAATGTACTCATTACCTTGCTCAGGTGATTGTAACCCCTCTCTGTATGGTATTTTAATTTTAAAAAAATCAAAAAAAAATTCTAGAGTAGAAAGTCTGTTAGGGCTGGGGTTAGGTACCCAGTGTAAAAACAAAAGAGTGGTTAAGAGGTTCTTTATGTCTCAAGTATTTCCAACTGAAATATTGGTCAGCCGGGTGCTAGTGGCTCATACCTGTAACCTTAGTTACTAAGGAGGCTGAGAGCTGAGGATCACAGTTCAAAGCCAGCCCAGGCAGGAAAGCCTATGAGACTCTTATCTCCAATAAATCACTCAGAAAACCAGAAGTCACACTGTGGCTCAGTTGGTAGAGTACTAGCCTTGAGCTAAAGAGCTGAGGGACAGCACCCAGGCCCAGAGTTCAAGCCCCACAACCAACAACTACTATATATATATATATATATATATATATATATATATATATATATATATATATATATATATATA